TATTATTATTATTATTATTATTATTATTATTATTATTATTATTATTAACACGCTCTGATGCTAAGGAGTTCTACTCCCCCTCCCCACCTGAAAAGAAAGGTGAACAAAACTCCGCATTGGAGACAGGAAGGGCATCTGGCCATTAAAACACTCCGCTAGCTCCATTCAGTTGCCCAGATTGCACCCCGCAAGGGATTATGGGGTCATTAAATGATGATGATGATGATGATAAGAGAGGGAGGTCCTTTCTTTTGTCCAGTTCTCCTTAAACATTTCCCAGAAGTGGGCCAAGCTCAACACGACACATCAAATCCTACAGCTGGGAGGGACTTTATACCATCCTGGTCAAATGGTTGTTTTATTTTTGAAACTACACCCGATCTGCGTTTTTCTGGAGTTTGGTGTTTTTTTTTTTTTAATTTTCCCCCGTAGAGTTTTTACGCCTCGGCTTCTGCCAGCAATACCACCCCACTGCGAGTGATCCTGCTGCGGATTCTGGCCTTCCTGAGTTGTGCCGTTCTCGTGGCGATGGCCCTGTACGGGTCAGGAGATCCATTTTTCTCGGGTTCTGCCACACCGCCGGTCCCGCCAAGCCCGGGTCTGTCGAGGAACAAGACTGGGCCACCGCCAGTGATCCTGCCACGGAATGGCTCCCTCCTGGAATCGATGGGCTGGCAGGAGGCAGTCCAGTCTCTTTCCGGGCGAGCCGTGGAGATGCTGGAAGCGGCCTGGGTCTACGGGAAGAGCCATCAAACGGCCGTGGTCGTCTTGGGGCTTTTCACTTGCATCCTGGCCATGTTGCTGGCTGGGCGGATCAGGTACGATGGGGGTGGCCTGCGGGAAGGACTTTAAGACACGGAGGGAGGCCAAGGGCCCGAAATGGCATTGCGACGTCATCGCGTTGTTGTAGAGAGGTTTCAACCTCCTAGAGCTGTGGATGGTGAACCTGTGGCCTCTCAGTGGACATGTTTGCCGTCACCAGCTGCTCTTCTGGTTTCTGGTACTGGTCTCCAAAAACAGGCTGTTTTCAGGCTGGTTTTTTGGGGGCATTATCAGGTTGTTTTGGGGGGCATTTTGGGCCTGAAAACAGCCTGAAAATGACCAAAAAAAAATACCCCAAAATCAGAGCGACACGCCCCCCCCGGTTGCATGGCGACTCTGAACAGGCATAGAAATGTCTTAAGGGTTGACGCTTCCTTTTTTTGGGTTCCTCTTAGAATGCATCGATCGTAAGTTGCGAGAACTGGGTTGCAAATGACGTTTTTCAGGGCCGTCCTAACTCCGAACGGTTGTGACGCAGATTGTTGACAACCGAGGACTAACTCCCCCTGTCCTCAACACACACACACACACACCTTTTGTCAGGATGCCAGCGATTGCCCTAATTAAACCATGATTCACGAGCCAAACTTCAAAAAAACTTCAAAGGATTCATTAGAGGCGACATCGTGGCCCTGCCCTGTAGGAAGCCAACTCTGGCCTACGTAATTTACAGTCCCCCGTGACCCTGTTTCCCCCCTCCCTCTCCGCTGGGTGTGTCATAAATCAGATTCTCCAACTGAGCACATTCCCAGGCTGGGTGTCATCAATCACGTTCTCCAATTAAGGATTTTTGTGGGCAGAAGATCCGGTAGCTTAGCTACAATCTTTTAAAGAGAAGAGTTGGAATGTGCTTTCAAGTTCAAACTACTGCTCTGCTCCTTCCAGATTTCCTTCCTCCCTTCCCCCCCTCCCTTTTTTTATGGCAACTACTAAAACAGCCCATAGGAATGTTTGATGAGTTTGACCCCCTTCGGATTCTCCCGAAAACTGACCGTTCTTTCCGCGTTCCAGGCTCCGACGCATCGACGCCTTCGCTGCTTTCCTGTGGCTACTGGTGATGGGCTTCCACGTGGTAGAGAAGTATCTGCAGGTGGACATCCCCAGCTGGGTGGAGACCGCCAAGTTTGGCACCACCTCCCTGTGCTGCTTGGTGGGGTTCGCAGCCGCCGTGGCCACGCGGAAGCCCGGGGGTCAGTGGAGACCTCGGCCCCGAAGGTCAGAGCCTCGGCAGTGACTTTGGGGGGCGGGGCGGGGCGGGGTTCCAAGTGCCTGGAAACGCCTTCGGATTTCTCCCCGCTGCTTCACCTTCGCTCTTTCCCACCTCAGCTTTTTTTTCCTCCTCTTCCTCACGTCCTCTTAGGCAGCTACCGGGTGCATCTTCGGTGACCCGCGCCCGGGCCGGCTTGGCTTCTCTTCCACAGGTGGGGAGGGACAGCGGGTGGGGGGGGAGATGGATGGCTGCTAATACCCTCTTGCAGTCTTGGGAGTGGTTTTGGGCTGGGGTCCTCTCCCTTAAAGCCAAAAAGAAAAAAAAAAGAAATTCACGTAGATAAAATAAGTCCTAAGCAATTTAATCCAAGGGTCTTCAAACTTGGCAAGTTTAAGACTTGTGGACTTCAACTCCCAGAATTCCTGAGCTAAGTCCACAAGTCTTAAAGCTGTTAAGTTTGAAGACCCCCCCCCTTGCATTAAAGGAAGTGATGAATCAATCAGTAAAAAATGAGCAATGGGTGGAAGAGTCAATGACCGATATACCCCCAGGAACCTGGCCCCCCAAAAATATTATTATTATTATTATTTTAAATTGACTTGGAGGCTTCGCAGTTAAACCTCGATTGAACCTTGTTTGAATTGACACCTTTTGCATGCTCTAAGACGGGGTACGTTATGTTTGCACGGGGATATTGGTGTTTGCTTTGGTTTTAAAGGGTGCGGTGTATTCTTTTCATATTTTATTTTCTTAAACTGACACATGGCCTTTGGGCACTTTGCTTTGATAAAAAAGATTTATCAAGGGAAGACAGCCTGCAAAAGCCCACTCATAAATTCATCCTTTCCCCTAACTCTCTCTTTCTGACCTCACTAACTTCTCCTTTCTCTCTCTCTCTCTTTTTTAAAAAATAATATAAATTCCCAGCCAGGTTGATCAGGTGCTGCCCTTACTCTTCCCCCGCTTCAAATGAAAAATTGGAATTATTTAAAGTATCCTGGTTTGGAGGGGGAAATTCTGTTCTGCTGAACACAAAACATCTCTTGGCTTTTCCCCCCCATCTGTCTTTTAAAAATCTTTTTAAAAGACAGAGAGTGTCCCTCTGTCCTCCCCCTTGAAAGATTGGGAAAATTTGAGCACGTCTGGTCGTTTTGCAAAAAATAAAAAATAAACCCCTTTATTTGTTCACCTGACTCAACTTGGCTTGTTTTAAAGAAGCAAGGCCTTCTTTTTAATCCTGGGCATGTTTGTGTTTTAGTGCATTTTAATACTTCTACTGAGTTTTGCCATTTATCTTCTTTCCTGCCTCTTTTCCAGGGTTGGACTGCAGCTCCCATCAATTGCCCACACAAGAGTGCGGTGGCTGATAGGAATTGTAGTGCAACCTCCCAGGACTGCGGCCTTTTTTTTCTCTCTTCTTCGTCTTTTTTATTTTTCAACCCTTCCTCCAATGTCGATTTTTAATCTTTCGCTTTAGTTTAAAATAAAAATAAAGCCAGCCTGGTGAAGACGGTAGGCGAATCAGGTCTTGGGAATCGTGGATGTAGGATTATTTATTCTCTGATATTATAGCCAACTTATATTTAACTGGAGCAGATATCTGTATACTTCGTTTAATAAAGTTTTCATTTCTTAACGTTACAAAACCTGAACGGGAGTTGGGTCCCATTAGCAAAACGGAGCTTTATTTCTTCCGCTCGGACCTGGGATGTAAAAATATATTAATAAAGGAAAATATTTGTAACTCAGGTTTGACATGGTGTTCTCTGGGCTTGCTTTTATTTTCTTGCAGATGTTTCATTACCCAAACTAAGTAACAGAAACTACCACTGATGACATTACCTAGTTTGGGTAGTGAAATGTCTGCCAGAAAACAAGCGTGCGCAGAGAGCACCAAAGACCCCCCCCCATAAAAAGGTGAATTTCTGACTCTTTTCTATTCCTGAATAACTGACTTGAAAAAGAGTCAAACCCAGTTATGATGGCTTCTTCGGCTTGGAGGCATAGATGTGTTCATGATTAAATCTGAGTTTTATCTCTCGGGGCCGAGCTGGAGATGAAGAAATAAAAGCACAACAGAGTTTAAAGGTTTTGTTATATTTTCTTTTGCATCTTAGCCCGACTGTTTATTCCACCATGTAGTGGGCAGCAGGAATAGCTGAGCAATTTAGCCAAAGCAGATCGGATTTTCCTTCCCATCTCCGGTTTTAAACTGGATCATTTGTTGTCTTAGGACAAAAACAGTTGGTGGTTGTCCCAAAATCTTATTATTATTTTTTTCCCTCGGCCGACTGGGTTGAGACCTGTGAAGCTTTAGGAAATGTTTCAGCCTGGGCATTGTGCTGTGTTCCGATAATTACGATGATTATGATGGACTATTATTTAACTTTTAAAATATTTTATCCTTGTGCCTGATTTGTTAACACTTAATTATTGAAAATAAAAGGCGCCTTCACCTCACCGCTTTTCCAATTGCCTTTTTTGTTTTGTTTTGGGACTTGCTGTCATCGTGACAGTGGATAATGTTTCCTCCGACAAACGACGCTCGCTGTTCCTTCCTTGGTAACTGAAAGTAGCGGGGAGAAAAACAGACTTAGCTAAGGTGACCCCCAACTTCCGTCAGCAAATGGTAGATAGGTTGAGCATCTTCCTTGGAATTGCAGGGTTGTGGTTGATCAGTAAACCAGGGCTGTGCAGGTAAACACGGTGTAGAAAAAAAAAATCTAAACACACCTTTCCGTTCCTGGTTTACAGGTGTATTTAGATTTACCTTTCGGTGTCTCTTGATTTTAATTAAGTTTCCTATCAAGCTTCAGAAGAATTTTTACAGGGGTGTTTGGTGATGCTTCTGAATTCCCACCAGGGCTGTGAGGAATCTGTGCTTTTCCTGGAGCAGTTGGACTCCGGTCACCATCATCCCTGATCATTGATGGTTTTTGGAGTCCAGCAGCCCACATAGGCCTCCAGGGTGGCTCAACTAGGACTGATTTTTTTCCCCCCCGCAAAAAGCAAAATTTGCGTTGGTACAAAACTGCGGAGCCAAAGAACATAGAATAACAGAACTGGAAGGCCATGTAGTCATATAAATGGCTGTTCAGTCTCTTCTTAAAAACTTCATTCACAACTTCTGGTGGCAAGCTGTTCCACTGGTTAATTCTCACCATTAGGAAGTTTCTCCTTAATTCCAGGTTGCTTCTCTCCGTGATTGGTTTTCACCCATTGCTTCTTTTCCTACCTTGTGGTGCTTTGGAGAATAGCTTGACTCCCTCTTCTTTGGGGCAGCCCCTGAGATATTGGAAGACTGCTATCACGTCACCCCTGGTCCTTCTTTTCATCAAAGTGGAACATCCCCAGTTCCTGCAACTATTCTTCGTATGTTTTGAGTGTCCAGTCCCCTAATCCTCTTTGTCGCTCTTCTCTGCACTCTTTCCACAAGTTCTCGGCCTCTTTTTTTTTTAATATTGTGGCGAACAAAACTGGATGCAATATTCGAAGGGTGGCCCTTACAGAAGGCCTTGTACCAATGCTTCACGCGATCCTGATTCTATCAAAAGAGATTTGGAGACGTGTTTTCAAAACGAGACGGGTCTGGGAGGGCCGGTGGCGCCTTGTTTTGTGGCATCTTCAGCCTGCCAGAGACCTGAACTCTCCGAACGATGGCTTTTCAAGCTCAAACTTAAAATCAGGTTCCCGGCCCTCATGGCTTCTTCCTTGCTTCGAAGGAGGCGCGGGGCAGAGAAGGCGGCTAAGCAGAACCAAAGTTTCATTGGACTGGGAAGCCTGTTGAGGTTCTTTTATTCCCCCAAGAGGCCACTGGATTTTCTGATTTTTCTTTGAAGATGTTTCGCTTCTCATCCCAGAAGCTCCTTTCAGCTCTGACTGGATGGAGGGGAATAAGGGAAGGATTTAAATTCCTTGCAGGCAGCTGGTCAAGCTTTTCAAGATCTCCCACCCCGGGGCTTCCTTCCTTAAGACGATCCAAAGAGGATGCCAGCCTGCTCCTTCCTCTCTAGGCATCCTTCTACCTTCCTCTTCCTCCCCGGGTGCCCTCCGGCGAGCTTCAAGGATGCCTTTGGTGCCCCCTCCCGCGCAGCCAGGGATCGGCTAGTACCCGAGCCGCCCTGGGGACTGTCCCCCTCCCCATTGCTGGCGGGAGCTGTCGCCGACCGCCCCCCCCTCCCCAAAACACAGGATGGGCTCAGCCAATGGCAGGGAGCCATGTAAAGATGCCCAGCCCTCGGAGCAACTGGCAGTGCCCGGATGGAGAGACAAAGGTTTGAATGCCAGAGCCGGCAAAGGGCTTTTGTCTTGTTTTGTTTTTAATTCTTATTTTCATTTTCATTCCTGGGAAGAGGTGCTGGACCCCGGATTAAAGCCAGGGCTTGTTTCTTGGTCGGACGGAGGAGGGATCATCTCCGCGTGTTTTTTTGTCTTGCGTGTTTCCCGTCCCATTTTGTCCAGGCATTTTCCTCCCCTCTGGTTGTTTCCAGTGCTTCCCATCATCCCAGTGGAGAATCGGTTTTAAAAAATTCTCTCTGGCGTCTTATTTTAAAATCCAGGCAGGAAAAAAAAAAGCACCTTTATTTTGCGAAGCCTTTTTTTTACAAAATGGCACAAGCTTGACACAGCCTTTTGTGAGTTTTTCTTCTCTCTCTCTCTCCCTCCTTCCCTTTCCTTCTTTTTCTCTTTCTTCCTCCCTCTTTTTTCTTTCTCTTCCTCCTTTTTTTGTTTCTTTTCCTCCTTTTTCTCTTTACCTCCCTCCCTTTTTCCCGCTCTCCTTTTCTTTCACTCTTCCTCCTTCTCTTTTTGCCTCTCTGCCTCCTTCTTTTTCCTCTTCCAATTTTTCTTTCTTCCTCCCTTCCTCCCTCCCTCTTTTTCTGTTTCTTTTCATCCTACTTTTTCTTTCTCTCTGCCTTCCTTTTTCTCTGCCTCCCTTTTTCTTTCCCTCCCTCTTTTTCTGTTTCTTTTCATCCTTCTCTTTTTCTTTCTCTTTCCCTCCCTCTTTTTCTTTCTCTTTCTTTCTTTCTTTCTTTCTTTCTTTCTTTCTTTCTTTCTTTCTTTCTTTCTTTCTTTCTTTCTTTCTTTCTTTCTTTCTTTCTTTCTTTTTCTCTCTCAATTTTTCTCTCTTTTTTTCTCTTTCTCTCCCAAACTCCATCCCCAGTTCTCATTGCCATTTCAGCCACACCTTTTTCTGTCTTTTATTCTTGCACCGATGTGATAACTCTTTATCGGAGAAAAAGCAACCTTTTTTTTTTTTCACTTCCCAAACAAGGTATGTGGCATTTGGATCAGAGAGAAAAGAAATGCGCGCACATCTTATTTCTGCTTTCTGGATAAAATCCCTATCAATTAGCCCCAAAAGGGTTGTTTTCAAATTCAAATTCTCCAGCGTTACCTCCGATAATTGTACTGATATATTTTTCTCACCACGGATGGATGAGCTGCCTGGAAATTCATACGTCTTGTGGGAAGGGAATGTTTGCGTGCAGAAGACCTAAATCAAATAAATCAGCTAATTGTAATTCAATGCTGGTGAGATTTGGTCAGAAAGCAGCTGGTTCCCAATGCTTTCGATCCTTTTTCTCGATCTGTGCAACTTTTAAGATGCGTGGACTTCAATTCCCAGAATCCCCCAGCCACTTGGGAATTCTGGGAGTTTGAAGTCCACACACCTTAAAATTGCTCAGTTGAGAAATGCCTCTTTAGAACAAAATGTATCCTATTCCATCTTTTCAGGATTCAGCCCACCTACAGAAAGTGGAAGAATAATTTGCAATTGCATTTATTTATTTATCCCCTCTTTGGAAGAGCTTTATAGCTCCCGCTGCCTTAAGAAAGTTCAAAACATCCTCAAAGATCCATCTCATCCTGGGGACCCTTTTTTTGAACTATTACCACCTGGCAGACGGTACAGGATAATAATAGAAACAAGGACAAATAGGCTGAAAAACAGCTTCTATCCCAGGGCAGGAGCTCTGTTGAATTCTACTGCCTAGTGCAAAATTAATGCAATATCAGGGGTTTTCAATTCAATGTATAGAATGAGAAGGATGTGTGTTTGCGTTTATTTTCAGTCATAATGTACACTGAAGAGGGTATTTAATTTCACTGTATGAGGTGCAGTGACAATAAAGTAAACTAAATTCATCAAATTTATACAGTCCCCGCCATCTCAAAGATAAAAAAAAAAAAAAAATGACACCGGGCGGCATACAGCACTGAATCAAAACAACAAAGTTATAAAAGCCCTTGTCGCTATTAAAATGTAAGCAAAACCACAAGCTATGACAAAACCACAGCATGACTGTTAATAGAGGATTATATAAATAAATAGAGATGGCAAACGAGAGACGAGGACGTCCGGAAGGCCTTGAAGGGAGAAAAATCCACAATGTCCCCTTTGCTGGAAACAAACTTTACTTTGGTTCCTTGAGCCGAAAATTAGGCCGCAAATGCGAGAAAGGGGAATACATTTTGTGCAAGATGGGGAGGGGGGAATGAATGGATTGCAAGCCTCTCTTGCGAGGTTGTGTCTGTGTGTCTCGTTTGCAGGTTTTCTTCAGGAGACCAGGTGGCCATGTTCCCCAGCAGTGCCGAGTTCAGCTTTGCCTATCCTTCTCCTCCCCACCCTTTCGTCCCCAGTCCTCCCAGTATCCTCCAGTTGAACCAGCGGCTTTTCTGCTCCCCACGCCGGACGTCGTCCTCGTCTCTGCCCGGACGGTTGAATCGGGCCCTTTCGCTCGGTACGATTCCTTCCCTGGCCAGGACTGGTAAGCCCACTCCTGTCTTTTTCCTTCCTACTTTGACTGGTGGTGGGTGGGTTTTTTTGAAGGGGGGGGTGGCTTTTCCAAGTTTCTAGTCCTTTGTGTGCTTGGCCTTGCCGAAGACACAACCACTGGCCCAATCCTTGCCCAAGTATGCTTTTTAATCCGATATTTACTGTCAGGATTCTGGCAGTTCCCCCATCGTGAGTTTCGAACCAAACTTTCAAAACTTCAAAAGGATTTATTGGGAGTTAAACTGTCTGGCACTGCCTGGGTGTAGCCGACTCTGAGACACGCAATTCATTGTTACCCTTGACCCTGTATCATAATTCATATTCTCTCATGGGACACATCCATAGCCAGGACTCATCAATCACGCTCTCCAGGTAGAATTTTGCATGTCAGAAACTTTAGTCACCTAGTTACTGTCTTTGAAAAACTATTGATGGAATGCGCTTTCGACTTCCAAGCTGCCGCACTGCTCTTTCAAACCCCCTTTCCCCCCCCTTCCCTTTCCGTTGGCAACTCTAAAAAGACCATAGAAATATTTTATGAGTTGACATTTTACTTTGCAATCTGGGTCCTCATTTTAACAACCTCGGAAGGATGGAAGGTCGAGTCAACCTTGAGAGCCTGGGGAGATTCGAACTGTCAAATGGCAAGCGGCTGGCAGCCCGCAGAATTAGCAGGCAATACCACATTCTAACCACTGCGCCACCCCGGCTCTTCAGATTCCGCCATCTTGATTGTCCCTTCTTCATTGTGGGTCCTTGTGTCTTTTTTTTGGCCCCCTTTGTGCATGCCATAACTTCGCTGCAGTTAACCATATCCGCTTCCCTTTCTAATTTTTAATCCTGATTAAAAATGACCTCTTTGGGTTTTTTTTGTGTCGAGATTCGGGCTACCTGTTCAGCGGAAGTCGGCCGCCCTCGCAGGCCTCCTGCCCCAAGGATTGGGCAGCCTCAGGTGAGCGGAAGGCGTGGGTCCTCCTACCCTCTTCCACGTGCTTCCTCTTTTCTCTTGCCACATCTGCAATCCGGACGTTAGCCTGTGGCAGACGGCAGTGGAATCCGGACAGTGGGGAAGAACGGGGACCAGTCTGGGAGTCTGGGGAGGACTCGGACGAGGGTCCTGCGTCCGATGCAGAGATGGGGCCAGGACCATCTGGGAGAGGGGTGCTTACTCTGGAGCCCCTGGAGTCTGGCAGCAGCGAGGCAGAGGAATGAGGTGAGCCGGTTCCCAGTGCGCGTATGCGCAGAGCTGCTAGAAGGCGAGAGCAGCTGAGATAAAAGGGGCGACTCGGGTGTAAGGCTTGGAGGTGATTGCCCCTCCCCATAAGGTATAAAGGACAGGCAAAGGGAGAGAAACCTTTGCAGGAAGCAAAGTCATTCATTCAGTTCGGATTCAACCTTGAAGCTCTGTGTGCGGACTTGGTACTTCGGTTGGTTTTTTAACAGTTCATTTGGCCCTTTAGTTGTTGGCAGCAATTCCAAGGAGAGAAAGGTGGGTGCTTATCTCGAGGAACTGTTTGGGACTCATTACAGGCTGGGAATACACGTAATTCCCAGCGCTGAAATAAAACAAGAAAAGTTTGGACTAAGCGTGTGCTCAGTTAGGGCCTCAGGAAGTGTTAGACTGTCGAATCAGGCTGGGAAGGTCTGCCCTCCACGCTTCTATCAGCCAAAAGGGTGGGGGGGGGATGGCGGAGAATACAGCTGGATGGGGGGGGGGCTTTGCCCTGCTCTCTGTGTCCCCCCTCCCCCCAAAAAGCTCCTATTTCTCAAGATATTGAGTATCCATTTTGTGCGGAACGGGGGACGGGGCTGATTCTAACCCCCCCTTTTTTCTCATCTTCCTCCCGGCCTTCCAGAATATTTCTCGGTCCTCTCCGGTAGCTGCATGCCCTCTCCGGCACCCTCGCCGGCACCGTCAGTGGCCGGCTCCGTAGCGTCCAGCTCCAGCTCCTTGCGTTTCCGCCGGCCCCTGATCAGCCCCGCTCGGCTGAACCTGAAAGGGCAGCAGCTGCGACTCTTCGGGGGGCAAAGCGCATTCCATCACGGGGAAGATTTCGCCTCTTTGGAAAACAGCCCGTTCGCCCCGGAGCGGTCCGTCTTCCCCAAAATGCCCTTCGGAGAGCAGGGCCTGCCAGGTAAAGCTCTTGGTTTGGAGACATCGGAAGAGCCGGGTGCAAATCCCGGACAGCGTCCCAAGGAATAGCCCTGTTGGTCGGGCAATGCGTTGAGGCTAAGTTCCCAGAATCCTTTGCAATATTCAAGATCTGGTCCCTGCTTTCAAGAGGACATAAAGTCTCTTGCTTTTGAACCAAAGGTTTTTTTTTCAGGCCGCTGGGCTTTCTGGTTTTTCTTTCGAAGGCGTTTCGCTTCTTATCCAAGAAGCTGCTTCAGCTCTGACTGAACGGTGGGGAAGAACAGAAGGATTTATATTCCTTGCAGACAGAGCTGGTCGTTTGCATCCTTTTAGGGGGTCCCTGAGGCCACTTGGGACGTTTATCTGTGTCCTCAGAGTCACCTGAAGAGGTGCAAATGATTCCTGTAGCCTGCAATTTATTTTCCCTCTGGAAATCCCTTCCTACTCCCACCCCGTTCCAAGGGTGTCCATCCCAAATTGTGCGGCTAAAAGTCTGCAGAGATTCTCCGTCATCCAAGTCGTGGCTGTCCCAAAGGGGCTTTTTTTTTTGCAGGAGGCAAAAAAACTTCCTTTATTTTTCTTTTTCCTTTTTTTTTTTTTTTTTGAAGACGTTTCGCTTCTCATCCAAGAAGCTCCCTTCAGCTCTGACTTTATTTGTTGTTTTGTGTTTGTGTTTGTTTATGTGTGTTGTTAATATATATATATATATATATATATATTTTTAAAGAAGAAAAAAAAGTTTTGCTCCAGGGAAATTTCAGCTTTTGGCTTTTTTCCCCACAGATGTGACAGCGGCCAGCAGCGTCTCCACCGAGGATTCAGGGAAAAAGGCAGATGGTTCTTCTCACTCGTCAAATTGTGTGGTTGACACCACAACGAAAGAAGAACCTTCAGGCTGGAAAGGTGAGTTTATGGTTGTCTGAAGCTCCCCCCGCCCCACGGCAAAGATGGCAAACTAAAAATTAAATACAGGTATAGTCCTCAACATAAGACCACAATCATCATCTTGTGTGGTGGAGTCTGGGCAACTGAATGGAGCTAACAGAGTGTTTACTGACCGGATGCCCTTCCTGTTGCCAGGGTGGAGTTCAAATGTATGCATCCAAATGTAAATCATGTGAGTGTGGGGATGCCTGCAACAGTATGAAAGATGGTCATAAGTCACTCTTTTTTCAGTGCCCTGCGATGACTTCGAACAGTGTTATAAGTCGAGGACTACTGTAAATAGAAATAAAATAATAATAATAATAATAAAAGTAAAATAAAAGGAGCGAGTAAAGATCCTTAAGTGATGAAAACCACCATCCAAAGAAACCCCAGATAACGCATCCTTTTTTCTCAAACTGATGATGATATATATTCCTCTCTTTCGTTTTATATCCAGGACTTGATCTGAGTTTGTTTGCAAGTCTTTTTCTTTTAATTAATTGCTTCTCTTTCCATCCTATTGCTGGATTTACACAAGGGGGTGGGTGGGGATGGGAAAGAAAGTCTTTGAACTGTGGCCTTTGGGGGTTGAAATACTCAAGATCCGGTCCCTGCTTCTAAGAGGGCACGCGTGTCTCTTTGGCGTGTCTTCTGCTTGAGCAGGGGGTCAGGCTAGGTGACCTCCAAGGTCCCTTCTAGCTCTATTCTGATTGGATTGGAAAACATCCAATTATCATGAAGAATCTCAAAGAACGCCCTCTTTTTTTTTTTCCACTTCCTCCTGCTGCGGTGCTTTGATTCAGGATTCCCTGCACTGCAGATAAATCTGGATCACTTTTGGAAAGCGGGCAGGTGTGATGGAGCAGAGAGCAGGGGGGGGGTCGGGCTAGATGACCTCCCAAGGTCCCCTTCCGGCTCTGTTCCTCTGTAAGGAGGGAAAAGCACAAAAGGCTGACCTGAACGCTTTCCCTCTTCCTTCCTTAGGCTGCTTTGGGAACCTGCTCCTCCGAGGTCTCCTGGCCCTCAGCCTGACCGCCAACGCCATCTTCACCTCGGCCTACCTCTACCAAACGTTGCGATGAGCCTCAGCTTTTCCCACACACACACCTTCTCCACCCCCACCCCCCAAAAAAGTGGGGAGTCTTCCCCATTTTTGCCCTTGTCCTGGAGATCGCGAGGTTCCAGGAGGGATTCGGCCGTCACAAGGACCTCTTTTCTTCCGCCGCATGGCCGCGTCCTTCGCGGGCAGCGGGATCCAGTCAGTTTCTCCCGCTGCTCCGATTATTGCTTTGCCTTGCCTTCTCTCTCCATCCTCTGAGAAGAGAGTCTTGGTGGAATGGGAAGCGCCTCTCGGCTTCTTTTTTTTTGCCCTTTTTTGTTCCTCCATTTGTACAGATTTGTGGGATGAAGAGATGGGAGTTTGGAAGGCCAAGGCGCGGGCGGAGTTGCCCTTTCAGCCCACCTTGCTTCAGTCGCAAACCTTGAATGGTGGTTAAATGCTGGCTCCCGGAGAGAACTGAAGAACTTTGGGGGCGGGGTGTCCTTTCCCTCCGTCCTCTTTGGTCTTCCAGGCCCCCGGCCCCCTTTTCCCAATCTCTCTGTGGCCAAGGGGAGCGGGGAAACTAGTCCCTTGCATTGCTGGATAGGTTGCTGACTCCAGGATCCGGTCAGTTTCACTGCTTTTTCAGGATCCGGTCAGTTTCACTGCTTTTCAAGTCAAATGTGTCTGGGACGTTTGGAGAAAGTCTCTGTTACTGTGTAATGTTTGTTCTTAATTTATTAATTTTTTCAGGGCAGGAGTTTTTTTGAGAAGTTTCACGCAGGCCAAAATGGGTTGGTGGGCTGAGTTGGGGACATCTTGATATTATCATCATGGGAGACTTGTGCAAAATAATGTGAATTTTCGTTTGTTTTTGTTTTTTTCCACGCTTAAGTACTAGGTTTCCTGCTTTTTTTCCCCAAACCAGAAGAACAACCTGTTCCTTCGATTGGGCTTTGGACTCTTCTCTTTTTGCATTTAGATACTTGTACTTCAACAGCGGGAGGAAATTCCCCTGCATGTAGAAAACTAGCAGATCAGGGAGAAAAGTGAACCCCAATGTCTTTTTCCCTTCCTTTTCAAGCCAGAGAAAACTCCCCCACCCCCATCGTGTGGGTTGAGCTGAGCCCCAAAAGTTTGCCCTCCAGTTTGGAAATCCCGATTTATTTTTCCTAGGTGCCAAAAAATTCAAACGCGTCTTGTCTGAGTGGGGAAGCAAAGCTTGTGGAGTGCTTAAATTAGAACTTTAAATTAGAAAAATTAAACTTGTCTGAGGAAGTAACATTCTGCCATTTACCACCCAGGTTTAAACCTTGTTCATTGGCTGGCTAAAATGAGAGCGCTTCTGTCTTAGCCGGCTGTGCAACATGGGTTAGAAGGCTGATTTTGTTTTGTTTTTTAAGAGCATAACAAAAAGAGACCTCTTCAAAGCTTTTTTCCTGCCTCTTTAGCAACCAAGGATATTTATTTTTTAGCCAAGATATTAAAGGCGACCCACCATTGATGATCCTGGCTTGGAAGCGGGGCGTTTATTGCCAGTTTGTTCATAGAGGGTGCAGGACGTTCAATTAATTTTCTCAGAGCTGTCCCTCTGCTTGAAAAAAAAAAATTCACATTTTCCCATCCTGGGAGTCTCCCACCGCACAGCAACCCGGCAGCCTTGAAACTTCTCAAGAAAGTGGTGGGTTTTTTTTGTTTTTTGGGTGGGGTGGGGGGTGTCCAGAAATTTCAAGTGTTGTGTTAAACAGGCTTTCTTTAACCACTGTTTAGTTTTTGCTTCATAGGGCAAAATTTCTCAAAAGTGGTGATCTCTCCACATGGGTGTTGCAGAAAGCAGCTTTAAAAAAAAAAAATAGAAATCAGCAAAAAGAAAATATGCACAGATCAAAACAAGGAGGCCTGTATTTTTGGTGCTAGGAAACAAGTTTATTAAAGTCACACTAATGTTCCTTTGATCGCAGTGTTAAGTCTTAAGGGTTACCCCTTTTCAAAGTTTTTTTTTCTTAAACTTTAGGTTGGTAGGGGGAAAATATATACACGTTTTTTTAAATGTGTATATTTCGTGTCAGTTTGGTTTTGCTCACGTCTGTCTCTTTTTTTCCCCCCCTTCTGGGGAATAAGGTCTAACATTTAGCAACGGAAAAATTTAGTTTTCCAATTCAGGAGTTTATTTTCAAGTTTCACCCCA